TATCTTGGCCCTAGCTGATTGGCTGGGACCTGGGGGGCGGGGCATGGGAGCCTGATATATAAACATGGTCTGCAGTAGGCAGAAAGATGCACCTGCACCCCTGCGAAGAAGTCTGTGCAACCTATACACATGTTACCTTATGTGGCAATAGGCACTTGGCAGTTGTGATCACGTTAAGGATTTTTTTTTTTTTTTTGAGACAGAGTCTCACTTTGTTGCCCAGGCTAGAGTGGGTACTGTGGCATCAGCCTAGCTCACAGCAACCTCAATCTCTTGGGCTCAAGCACGTCCTCCTCACGCTCCGAGTAGCTGGGGACTACAGGCATGCGCCACCATGACCGGCTATTTTTTGTATATACTATTTTTAGTTGGTCAATTAATTTCTTTCTATTTTTGGTAGAGATGGGAGTCTCACTCAGGCTGGTTTCGAACTCCTGATCTTGAGCCATCGCCGCCTCGGCCTCCAGCAGGTGCCTTAGGATTACAGGCGTGAGCCACCACGCCCGGCCCCACGTTAAGGATCTTAAGATGGGAGACCATCCTGGACTACCAGTGGCCCGATGGAATCACAGGGGTTCTCACCCTGGAAAGAGAGGTGGGAAGAGGAGCTGGGCAGGCTAGAGCAGAGCTAGGACTGATACAATCTCTGCCTGAAGATGGAGGCAGGGCCCAAGCCAAGGGATGCAGGTGGCCTCTAGAAGCCAGCAAAGACAAAGAAACAGGGTCTCCCTGGAGCCTCCAGAAAAAACACAGCCCTGCCGACACCTTGACGTCATCCCCATAAGGCCCCCTTCAGACCTCTGGCTTCCAGAACTGTGGGGTAATGAGTCTGTGTTGTCTTAAGCTACTTGTTTGTGCTGTTTGTTCCAGCAGCGGTAGGAAGCTCATACACCATCACTGCAGCCCATCCCTTTACCAGAAAACTGTGGCAGGAGTCAGCCTTCAGAGGGAGTTGGGGGGCCCTTTCCACATATGTCTACGTCCCAAACTTCCAGGACGCGAGAAAGGGATGGGAAGTGCGTTACCTTCCCTGGTTAGCAGAGGTCACGTGTACACACAAGGGAGGGCCACTGGAGACAAGAAGACGACATCGAACTAAAAGGTGACTGGGACTTTACCAAGCCCTGGAGAAGGACTCAGTGATGCCCTGGGGAAGGGGCCAAAGGCACTGGACGCCAGGCTGAATGAAAGGTCCTGAAGTCTGGGCAGAGTGACAGTGCTGACTGGGAGTCCAGCCCTGCCACTGACAGCCTGGCTGTGAGGCTCAGGCCACGTGCTCCCTCCCCTGGGTCTCAGGTCCCCTGTAGGCAAAATGAGAAGCTATACTACGTCAATAAATCAACTTTTCTTTTAAAAATGTTTTCTAAACAGCAGACTCCTGTCTTCACATTAAATCTTTCTTGTGTGACCTGGAAGAAAGTTATTAATATAATAATCAAATAATAGCAAACATTTGAAAGAGACTCACTTTGTGCCAGACACTCTTCCAAGCGCATTATCGATGTAAATTGATTTGTTCAATATTCACAAGAAATCAATAGATCAGTGCTAAAATCTTCACATCACAGACAAAGAAGTCGAGGCACAGAGAGGTTAAGAAACTAGGTCAAGGTCACTCAGCAGAGACATGGTAAATTTTTATTTGAACCCGTGCATTCTGGATCCAGAGAGAACAGAGAGGCAGGTGGGTAGTTGGGGGAGATTTATCCAGTTAGGGTCACTCAAGGTAAATACTAAAGGGCCAGAGAGGTACGTGGAGGGGAATGGGAAACAGCATGAGCTGGGAAGGTAATTTTGGAGTCTGGTTTACAAGAATCATCGGAGCAGCCATGGAGTCCGAGAGAAGTGGGAGTCAGGGGAGGGGCCAGAGCGTCTCCATCAGTAACAGATGCTCTGAAGTCTCTTCGAGCAGGCTCTATGTGCAGGCTGGGCCGTGTTGGGCCATGGCATGTATTGGGGTTACACTTAGAGTCTCACTGTGGCAAACAGATCAGAGCTGCCATGGTCGAAGAAGAGGTAGCAGTATTAGCTCTCATCCTCTTGTCACCTTTGTCACCAACCCAGACTAGGCCCCAGTCATTTCTGCAGGGCCCTGCAGTTTCAAGCAATGCCGTTTGAAAACCACTATACCATACCAGACGGCCTCCGTTCAGTGGGTCCCCGGAGCCAAGGCCAGCAGCTCCCCACGCCCCCATTCCAGGTGGCCGTGGAGGGCTCGAGCTCTCACCTCCACTCCTGGATCCAGAACTCAAGTCTCTGTTAAGTGAGAATGCCAACCTCACTCAGCTTGTAACCAGCAAGGTGCCCTTGAGCTAGCCTCTTCTCGGACCTCCAGGGCCTCGACTGTAACATGACATTTTGAAGACAGTTCAGCCTCAGAAGCCAAGACACTGGGCTTGAAAACCTCTTAAGAAAATTAAGCAGAGCCGGCGTATACTGAGCACCTACATTAGAAGATGGTTTTGCAATTTCAGCCATCACTGCTCACACTGTCCTCATTTGACCAGTGAGAAAACTGAGGCCCAGAGAGGTGAAGTGAGTGACCAAGGTCACACAGCATGGCAGAGCAGAGCTGCAGCTAACAGCATGGCAGAGCAGAGCTGCAGCTAACACCCTAGATCATTGCCTCTTCCTCTCACCCTGACCACACAACCGAACCCGCAATAGGCATTTGCTCTCGGGGTTCTGATTGACCCCCCTGAATCCCCTCTCATCCCTATATGTTTTATAAACAAGAAAACTGAGGCTCAGAGGCACTAACTCACCTGCCCAAGGTCACCCGGCCTTTCCCATGGGCGCCAGGGAGCCAGGTGTGTGTGAAGCCCGAGCTTGCTCACACCTCTTGCTACGCCTGTTCCGTAATGCAGCCTCCTAAGTCCCCCCCACCCCCAGGACGCAGAGCCTGGGCTTCTCTCTGCACCTGCCCCAGGCCCAGGCTGGTGAAAAGCAGCAAAAAGTTCCTCCTGCTGCCTCCGCCTGCGCACCCCACCATCAGCAGCACACCCCGAGGAGCCTCCAGGGTGCCTGGGGACAGGTAGCTGAGGATGCCCCGGGGCTGCTAGTTGCCCTCTGCCCCTCCCGGGTGGCGCTCCTGCCTGGCGGGGAGGGAGGGCAGCTCCCCTCGCCTCCCCAGCGGTTGGCAGAGCAGCGGCTGCTGCTGCTCCCGCCTGCTGCCGGCTGATGGAGAGATTATTTCTAAGCCCTTCCCATTCCCCCCTCCCTTCCCTTGCAGGACCACACTGGCTGTCCCTGTGGGACCTGGAGTGCAGAGTCCACCGCTGAAGCAGGACAGCCGACCGGCTCCCTCCTGGCAAGGCTCCCCAGAGCCTCGCCTCTCACAAGGAAAGGGGCTTCCTCCGGGTCCTTTAAGACAAACCCACCCCACTCCCCCAGGGCTCTCCGGCAGCTGCTGGAGAGAGAGATGCAGAATGAATGAACTTCTGGTTTCTGGAGGAGGCTCGGGAAGAGAGACTGGAAACTAACTCTGCCAGAAACTGCTGTGCTCGGGGTTTTTTTCCTTCCCTTTCATCTCCACCACAAACCTGTGTCTTTCCCGGGCACCGAGACATGGGCTCCCCCTGCCCCGCAGAGAAACAGCTGGAAACGGGCTCCCCGAGACAAGAGGGTGAGTCAAACTTCCGGGGAAGAAGTTGGGGCTTGCTGCAGAGGAGGGGGCTTGCAGAAAGGGGCAGACGCCGGCAAAATGCTTAGCAAAAGTGCGTTTCGAGTGAATTCTTCCCTGCGCTCTGGAAGGAGCTTTGCTTGCCAGCTGTTTGGGGAGCAGTAGATTGCAAAATTGGGCTTCTTTCAATGGACGCAGAAAGGGGAGTTTTGGGGTTCTGAGAAGAGCCCCAGGGTTGGATTTGGATTTGCTGTGTGACCTTGGACTAGTCACTTCAGCTCTCTGGATCTTAGTTTTTGCACTTGGCAAATGAGAGAGCTTGGGAAGGGCTCCCTGGGTTTCAAAATACTCTTCTCTCTGCAGGCTACTCACCCCGTGAAGGAAGCAATGCTTGCAGATAACAGAACGTTGTGTGGGGGCAAGTGTGAAACAGGCTGTGATTCACTCCTCACCGTCCCCTGGAATCCAACTGGCTCTGAAATGGAGAGGAACTTTTAATTCCATTCAGCTGCCAAGTTTTGCTCCTGATTGGAGTGCATCTTGAAATGTAAGGTTACAGAGGCTTTAGAAACGGCTTTGGCTAGCATGAATAGCACAAGGAACGCTTGCAGGATCTGAGGATGAGAAATATTTTGGAAGTGATTTTTAAAAATATAAGAGTGAGCTAAATCTAAAAGGCTTCTTCCAAGCCAAGTGCCCCCAAATAGGTCTGAAATGGAGAGAGCATTAGAGGCTCCCCCATTCTGCAGATAAAAGACCGAGGCCCAGAGAGGGGACGTAACTGGCTCAAGGTCACACAGCAAGGGTGGCTGGGGCAAGCAGTGAACACGGAGGGGCACTGTCACCTAAAGTACGAAATGCTCCTCCTCCTCCTAGCAAAGTCCTCCCGGTGAGAAGGCAAACAAGAAGGGTTAGGCAGGGGTTGTAGGACCTCCCCCCACCCCCCAAGAGGTAGGTGCTGTGCTCAGCACAGTCGCATTCCTGATCTCCTCCAGCCTTCAATAACTGGCCCTCCCCGAGCTTTCCTGGATGTCAGGTGCTTGCTAAACAATGGGCAAGACACTTAACCTTCCTGTGCCTCAGTTTCCTCATCTATAAGGTGGAGCTACTAATGTCTGCCTGGTGAGGCTGTTGAGATGAGTTAATTAGGGGAAACCTGGCACATCAGAAGCGTCTAGAAGTGTTAGCCACACACACTGTCTGTGTATCACTGCGTGTAACCCTCACCGGGCCCTACGATGTGGGCACCCAAACTGCCCCAGTCGTACAAAGTGAAGGGCTCAGAGGGGCTGGGTAACCCACCCGTGGTGGCAGTCCGTGAGGGACTGGAGCGTGGCAGTGAACTTGAGAGCCTCCACTCTTCTTTAAAACCGTTTTTTATTTGTATATATTCATGGGGTACAAGCGCAGTTTTGCTGCGTTGAGTATTACTGCATTGTGGTGGAGCCAGGGAGAGCTGGCGCTCCTCAGCGCTCTTTTTACCACCTGTACCTTGCAAAGTTGGTGTGAGTCTTGTCATTTGATGGAATGATCCTGAGATCAGAGAGGTCAAGCCACATGCCCAAGACCAGACAGCTGTGACTTGCCTGCCTCGGCACCGAATTACTCAAGTCCCAATCCATGCCGTGCTCGTTTCAGAGAGATTTTTCTGAGATATAAGTACATGCTCCACGGGGGAAGGGCTGTGTTCACTGATGTATCCCTGGCACATAGTAGGTGGCCAGTAAATACGTGTCAAATGAACGGGCTACAAGAATGAATGATGCAGGCGCGGTTGCAGGAAAGCACATGTCAGAACGTCTAGTTAGTGAGATCTGGGACTCTGCCCTGAGCCTGATTTCCCCCCTGTTTTCTTGCCCTTTTCCCTTTGGGTGTCAGACAGGTAAACCCACTGCTCCGCGGCAGGGACGCCTTCCGGGATGCCCACGCCTTCCAGAGCCGGGGGCCTGCGCCCCAGGCCCCCTCGCCGTGGCTCCTGCAGCCCTCTGGGTCGGCTCCTGCCGGGCCCCGTGGAGACGCCGCCCGTCAAGGGCCTTTACTACCGCAGGGTGCGGAAGGCGGGCGCCCTGGACGCCTCCCCGGCGGACCTGAGGAAGGAGATCCTGGTCAACGTGGGGGGCAGGAGGTACCTCCTTCCCTGGAGCACGCTGGACGAGTTCCCGCTGAGCCGCCTGAGCAAGCTCAGGCTCTGCCGCAGCCACGAGGAGATCACGCAGCTCTGCGACGACTACGACGAGGACAGCCGGGAGTTCTTCTTCGACAGGAGCCCCAGCGCCTTCGGGGCGATCGTGAGCTTCCTGGCGGCCGGGAAGCTGGTGCTGCTGCGGGAGATGTGCGCGCTGTCCTTCCGGGAGGAGCTGGCCTACTGGGGCGTCGAGGAGGCCCGCCTGGAGAGGTGCTGCCTGCGCACGCTGCTGCAGAGGCGGGAGGAGCTGGCCGAGCTGCGCAGGCAGGAGGCGGCGCTGCAGCGGCGCGGGGAGGCCCGCGTGCCCGCCGCGCACGGCTCGCGCTGGGGCCTCTGCATGCACCGGCTGCGCGACATGGTGGAGAACCCGCAGTCCGGGCTGCCCGGGAAGGTCTTCGCCTGCCTCTCCATCCTCTTCGTGGCCACCACGGCCGTCAGCCTGTGCGTCAGCACCATGCCCGATCTCAGGGCCGAGGAGGACAAGGTGAGTGGCCCCGATCGCGGCCTGCGGCTGCCCGGGCCCCGGCTGTCTCCTTAGCGGCCCACGAAAACGTCTTCGTTTCTTAAAATTAGAAGAAGAGAAAAATATTATCCAGCAGGGATTATATTCATTTTTAGACCAACCCTGTCGTAAATTATGTTTGTTTTTTTATGTTTGTTTTAGAGACCCACCAAAGTCATTGCGTGCCTTGGCTCCGATAGTGAACCCCGGTTGTTGACAAGGCCATGCCTGATCCCAGTGGGCCAGACAGGCCCAGCCTCACCTCTCCCGGCTCTGGTGCTGTGGGGCAAATCGCTGAACCTCTCTGAGCCTCAGTTTCCTCTTCTGTAAAATGGGTGACATTGTTACGCAAATGGACGCATTCGGTGCACTCAGCACATGTTTGGGCAACTACTTATTGCCAAGCACGAGGCCAGGCCCCAGATCCCTGCTTTCTTGAGCTAACATTCTCCTGGGCACCCCAGCACCATTTTCAGACGAAGAAACTGAGGCACAGTACGTCTAGTCTCTTCGGAGGTACTTAGTAAAGATGCCGATCACGGCAAAGGTTCTCGGGCTCGGTTTCCCCGCAGTGCTGAGTGTCTCAGCCAGTCTCACCAGATGGAAACCCGGGGACGAGCTGACGTGTAAGTGACCCGGGCCCAGGAGGCCAGGGCACAGGGTTGTGCTTGTCCACTCCAGCACTCTCTTTCTTTTTTTTTTTTTTTTTTTGAGACAGAGTCTCGCTCTGTCGCCCGGGCTAGAGTGCCGTGGTGTCAGCCTAGCTCACAGCAACCTCAGACTCCGTGCGTGGCTCCCAACAGCTGTCCGTTCACCGCAGGTCCCTTCCCTTAAAGACAAACCCCAGGCAAGACGGGAGGATCAGAGAACTTTCCAGACAGAAAGGACTTAGATGGAGAACCAGCCTGTGCCCCACACACAGTAGGCTCTCGATCAGTATTTGTTGAGTCAAATGTGTTTTGTCCAACCTATAAATCTTTTGTCCTAAAAAAACAAACAAACAAACAAAAAAACAAAAAATTTGGACTTTCAGACAACTCGTTTTCCCATGGAGAAGACTATAGGAATTTTCTCATTCTATGTAGCACAAAAGCATGTGATTTACGAGCCTGCGTATTCGCAGAAATATTTACCTGTGGACTCTGCAGTGAAAGATTAAGACCAAATAAGCGACCTCCTTACCCCATGCCCTAAGGTGCCCCTGGTCCCACTGGCTAAGGGAAGACCCCTGGGTGGCCACAGCCTGTTCCTCTTAGAAGCTGCCGGATAGAGAGGGGACTGGTAGGGGCCGGCCGGCGGAGATTTACGCCGCGCCAAGGGCCAAGATCTTTCCAAAACCTAATGCTTTGAAAATGATGAAGGGTGTGATCCCGGGCCTGGCTCAACGGTGACCAGGAAGTCAAATGGGAGTGGGAGACAGGCCTGCAGAGCTGGGCGGCCCAGAGTTGGAGCTGCGGGATCCCGCAGCTGTGGCCCTCCTGGGATAAATGGGACTCCGGCCCAGGCTCAGTGCGCGATGCCTGTGCTGTCTCCCTCCCGAGACCGCCTCTGCGTGTGCCCGGGACAGAGTGTGGCTGTCTCCTGCTTAGATAATAATTCTGACACCAGGGAGGCTGAGGACGGAGGCCTTGACCGTGGCCTTGCATTTACATAAAAAGGCTATGTGCTGTCCCCAGTATTCCAGATTTGCCCCCAGGGGACATCAGTGGCCAGCTGCTCCTGGGGACGGGCCGTGACCGCCGGATGTGGGGCCATGTCGTCCCACGTGGCCCTGACGGCATCCACGCAGATGAATTAATGTCTCAGGTGTGGGGGGTAGATGCAACCCGCAGAACTCCTCTATCGGAAACGAGGGTGGAGGGTTAGAGAACACTCGAAGACAGCACATTTCCGTTTTCTTTTCCTAACTTCTCTCAGCCGTGTCCTTGGAGTAAACTTGATAGTGGGTCAAAGGTCTGTGCCTGAGATCTCGAATTAAAACGGAGCGGGGAGGAGGCAGTGCAGACAGCAAGGGCCAAACCAAATGCCCCAGCGCCTCCGAGACGCACATGAACTTGAAAGTCCTGGACTCCTGGGGCATTTATTCCCGTCGTGAGGCTGGCATCTGACACCACGGGCTGACGTCATCCTTCCAGAGGCATTAGGATGTGACTGCAACTGCTACCCCCATTTTACAGATGAGGAAACTGAGGCCTGGGGGAAATTCCATCACTTCCCTAAGCTCACAGTTGGTAAGAGGCAGAGCCAGGGTTTGAGCTCACCTCTGATTGGCTCTAAAACCCGACCCCCTAGGACCATACGACACCAACGCTGTCATTCATTTCTGGGCCGCTCCAACTCCAGTCTACACCCTCAGCGGCACTGCGAGTTTCTGAGGCAGCCGGGCTTTGTGAAGGGCTTATCTGTCCAGCATGACAGATGCCCTGGGCTTGACTCTCAGCCTCACCCCTTACTAACCCAGTGATCTCGGGAAAAGCACCTAACTTCCCCCAGCCTCAGTTTCCCCATCTGTGAAATGGGGACGCTGTTAGCACTTTCCTCCAGGGCTCATGGTGAGGGTGACAAGAGTGATGTACAAAGCGGCTGGGACAGCGCTGACACACGCAAGTGCTCAACAAACGGCGGTCATCGCCATCGGGTTAGGCGCTGTTGTAACAGGCAGTGAGGACACGCAGACTGTCCCTCGTCAGCAGCCGGCACTGGCTGCCTCCGACGTCCTTCTTGGTGCTGGAGGTAAGACTCACCTTCCCCGGCCGTTACGTCCTGAGCACCCTGCCTGCTTCATTTTCTAAATTGAGTTGCCATCCACATAGCCTCAAACTGACTGTCTTAAAGGGAACAACTCAGTGGGATGTGGAACAGTCACTGTCCCACGCCAACACCCTCTATCTGCTCCAAAAACGTTTTCTCATCACCCCTGAAATGAAACCCTGTACCCACTGAGCAGTCGCTCCCCATCCCTCCTCCCATCCCATCACCTAATCCCTCCCCATCCCGCTCCCCATCAGCTCCCTCCGCATCCCCTCTGCGCCTGTCCCCTCCCGATCTCCCTCCCTCTCCATCCCCTCCCCCATCCCTCTCTCCCTTCCCCAGTCCCTCTCCTATGCCTCCCCCCCCCATCCCCTCCCCATCCCTGCGCCCCTCCCCCCATTCCCTCCCCCATTCCGCTTCCCATTCCCCTCTCCTATGCCCTCCCCCATTCTCCCGCGCCCCCTGCTCCAGCGTCCCCGCCCTGGCGCCAGCTATCTGTTCTCGACTCTATGGCCGTATCTATTCCAGACATCTTGTAGGAATGGAGTTGTGCTCTATGTAGCCTGGCTCCCTTCACTCAGCATGACGTCTGCAAGGCCCCCCACGCGGTAGCATAGAGCAGCGCTTCCTTCTTCCTTACCGCAGGGTAGCATCCACTGTAGTACAGCCACAGCTTGTTTATCCTGTACCTAAGGCCACAGCTCCTTTATCCTTTCTCCGTTGGTGGCCTGCTCCCTTTGATAGTTGGAGGTGTGAACACACACCACAAAGACCCCCACCTCCAGAGGACGGGATGGGCTTGAGACCTGGCCAGGATTCTGTTCTACGGCTCCTGCTCCTGCCCCTTCGATAGGCAGGACTCGGAATCTAGTCCCGACTGCCCAGGGCAGGTGGCGTCCCCCACGGGACTCCAGTCTCTGACTGTGAAGAGCCGGACTCCCTGGCCACTGGTGTCCTCCCGCTCTGGGCATCTGCAGCGCCCTGTTCTGGTCTCTTTGCTGCAGCTTCCAAGGTCTTTGCTTTCCTCTGCGTTTGTGTCCTCCCTGCCATCCGTCCCTCCTGCCCTTCCCACGTGGCTTTGGCGCCTTTCCCTCCCTCCGGGGGAGGCTGAACGCCCCTGGCCAGCTGCAGGGAACCTCTCTCTTCTCCTTTGCTGCCACTGAGCCGTCCCAACCACGGCATCGTGTCCTGTAACGAGGCCCGAACCTTTAGTCTGCCAGTCCTGGTCGGATCCCAACCCTGCCGCTACCTGGCTCTTTCCGTGGATGCGTCCCTTCATTTCCTCATGCTTCTATTTCCCCACCTATAAAGGAAGGTGATAACACCTGCTCAGAGGGCAGCAGTGAGGACCGAGGGGGAGCCAGCTTACCTGGTTCAGCACAGAGGGGACACTCACTGTCTTCTCCACCCACGGCCAGCATCGGACCCCATTCGGCCCTCGAGCTCGGCACGTCTTTCCCCAGGGCCCGCTCTGGGCTGCAGCCCCGACGCCCTGCGAGAAGCACTGGCACAAACCACGCTCCTAACCCGCCCTGCAGCCCCCACTCGCTTCTCCTCACCTTAGATTCCACCCCTGCCCCAGAGTGTTGCTTGGGGCTGTCAGAGAGACCGCGAGGGGACGTGCACACCCTACTGCAGCTGCAGGACGGTCATGGGGGCAGGGCGTGGGACCTTTGGTTCTCGCTTTCCTTGCTGTGTTAGTTTCTGCACCCGCTAGGATGGGGAGCTACACAAGGAAGGCAGGGAGGGAGATTTCTAAAAGACCAGGCAGGACTCATGGGCCCCTCCCCAGAAACAATGCCTTCCCGAACCTTCTAGCTGCAGTTCCACCCCACCATCTCCCTGCCCTTTAATAAGAAGGTTCTGCTGGAGCCAGCTTCTTCCTGCTCCTGCTCCTGCTCCTGCTCCTCCTCCTCCTTCTCCTCTTCCTCCTCCTCCTCCTCTTCCTCTTCCTCCTCCTCCTCTTCCTCCTCTTCCTTCTCCTCCTCTTCTTCCTCCTCCTCCTCCTGCCGGTTCCTGGATCCCAAGTCAGCGTCGTTGGAAGGGACTGCCCTGTTGTCTGTAGCTTCTCTGTGTTCACTGACATTTGGTGACTGCTCTAGTGAATTCCTCCTATCCTGGTTTTGTTGTTTTTTTAGGATTCTCCCAAACCCCACTGAGTCTCCCTGTGTCCCAGCCAAAAGGAACCCCTCTTTCCTGGACCGGCCCCTCCTGTCCTGATGCTGTTCTCG